TGGTAATCAAGGTGGAATGTGGGCAGGGAGGCCACTCCGCACAAGGATATTGCTTCCCTCTATAAACCCAGGTAATTGAGTTGTCTTGTTTAAAGTTTTATAGGTTAAGATTCAGGTTAGGACTGGAGCCCTTCTTTTGCAGTTCCTCCAGGGCTACATGTGGAAAAGAACAACTAGAAAACTCTGACTGAGGACTCATGAGAAAAGAACAGTAGTCAGTTCTTGTGGTTTCAAGGAACACTAAAGGGGACTGGGGTCATTTAAACACTTAAAAACAGAAAGGAAATACAAAGCTCTTCCATTTAGTAAGTCAAAACCAGCTCAGAGCATGTGACCATCCCAGCCAAGCATTGCAATAGCCAGCCAGCCCAGTCATGATTCTCTGGCAAATTGCACAGTCACGGTTGGGACTGTTGGGATGAGAGGTGCTATATAAATGTCAGATGTTACATAAATGTCAGGAATGATTATTGTTTGTTAATGGTTCCTAAGCAAAGATCCCGCTTTCAGCCAACTTGCCTTTAGCAGGATTCTAGCTACCAATAGCCAATGAGGAGGGAATGCTTTCCCCTGGTTCTGTAAAGAAAACAGCCCAGAAGGCAGGACTTGGGTGGTGTGAGCCCTACCACTTGCTCATCAAGTGACCCCAGGCCAGCCCCTTGACCTCCATCTGCCTTAGCTTATCTGTTAAATGAGAATCATTGTAACACTCATCCTACTTCATCTTATAGTGCTGGGTTGTGATGACAATTAAAGGAGTTCTTGGCGGGTTCCAGGGCTTTGCAAAGTGTGAGCTGCTGCAAGGATGAGGATAAGAGTGGTCGACTGGGTTGGGCCTGGCATTTACTCTTTTGCCTTGCCTTGGGGTCCTACTCAGACTGAGAACTTCTGAAAAGAAATTAAGCCAGGGATGGTGATGAGGGTGACTGGAGCATACTGAAAACACCAGGATCCTCTCTCCAAGAGGAAGATACTGCAGATCAGGCGCCCAGAGCTTGCCTTCTGCTCTAGCGCGGCCCCTTTCCAGCCTGTGAGCTTGGGCAAGTTACCCAGGAGGTCTGGAAGTGATCGCCAAGGGCCTTTCCGGCTCTGACGCGGTGTCTAAATCAGGCTCATCGCTAGGGCTCTAACTGTGATTCACCTTTCGCCTCCAGAAGCAACTCTACTGCTACTCTGGCCGGTGGAGCAGGGGGCTTGGAATGACCTGGGGTGGTGTATCCATGTGTACCAAAAATAAGCTATCCCCCATGATGTGAGGTGAGGGTGGAGGACCGGGAAGGGAGGAGTGTCGAGTGGGTGTTCTGAGAATCAAGGACTCAGGGAACACTGTAATGAGGTCATGACTGTCGCAGGCAAAAAGGAGCTGGACATCTGCTGGTGGGGGCGGGGGTGTCCTGCATTTTGGGTTGCAAAAAGTCCTTCCCCATCCCCTTCGCCTGCCCCCCTCTCCACCTCTCTTCCTGCACCTCCATCCCTGCACCTTTCAAACACTATCAGGCACCCCCCCCCCCCCCCCCCCCCAACACACACACAGAAGATCCCGTGGTTGTGCCGCCTCCGTGGTCCTGTCTGAAACCAGGAGGATAGTTTCCAAGCTGACTCACACCACTAATGTCAGGGAGTCGTGTCACACGGCGCTGGGCTCTGCAAGCTGTTGCTTGCGCGGTAGCCGCCACCACCGCCGCCGCTCCCGGGCGGGTGCATTGGGGTCATCCTAGCAGCCCCGCAGCTCCGCAGCCTCCGGGAGAGGGCGGGGCGGGGCCGGGGCGGGGCCGGGGCGGACCCCGCCCCCCTCGGCGGGCGGGCCCCGCCCCCCTCGGCGCGCCAGCCCCGCGGACCGCAATGATTTAGAAGTTCAGGAATCCCACGTGACGTCACCGGGGGGGTGATGTAATGCACTCTAAATAGAATGTATTGTAATCTTCGCTCAGTCCAACGTGGTCCCTTCACCCGGGCTCCGCTCTTGCCTTCTCCACACTTGTTTGGTAAGTTCCTAAAAATACGGCGCGGCCACTGCTGGGGCTTTTGCATTTAGCCACTTTTGTTGCACTTGCCGCGGGAGCCATCTCCGGAGCGTACTTGTTTGCAAGGGTTGGTGCTCGGCAAAAGCCGCGAGGTTACTTGGTCCAGAGGGAAGGTCACAGGGCAAGGAAGTAGGGAAGATGAGTTGCCTTTTTTTTGGAGGGTGATCTGTGTTTGTAAACACTTTGCGGAGCAGAGGAAGTCCGGCCCCCATTGCTGGTGGACTGTGGAATTGTGCTGTGCCCCGAGGCTACCCCAGATCCTAGACGCCGTGTCCGTCCCAAAGAGCGTCCCTGTGGCCGCCGAGCCGTGCGACTGGAGGGATGCTAACGTGGAGCGAGTGTCGTGTCCATCCCGGCGTGCGTGCGAGTATGGGAGCGCGCGTGTGTTTCCCTGACGCGGGGAACAGTTATGAATCGGGGGTGTGTGTTTGCCTCCAGAGACCTGCCTGGCAAGGTGCGGAACCCTCCAGAAGTCAAGAGGCGGCAGATGCGGCGGCGGCGGCGACAGAGACGGCAAGTCAGAAAACTCCCCTCGCGTTCCCAACCTTCCAGTGATGCGGCAGAAACCCCGGAGAAAGTTTGCAAACTTCCAGCCCGCACAGCTAGGACGCCGGGTCAACTCAGGGCGGGCGGGCGCTCGAGGGGCTCGCTCTTTCCTGGGCGCAGAGCGGGGCCGCTCGCCGCAGCTGGTGGGTAAGCGCGCTCTTGGAGGGCACTTGGCTACGGCTCTGCTCCCGGCGCGGATGTCTCCAGAGGGGCGAGGCTCTGTCATGGTCAGTCCTCCAGCCCCTCCTGCCTTGGCTGGCATCGTTACCTCTCTTCGGCCCATGCCACAAATGACAGCTCCAGCGCAGGCTTTGGCGGCGTGGACGCAGTTCCCAGGACGCGGCGGCGGACCTTTCCTCTTCGGCGGATTCCCGACTCCACCGCTTAAACTTTTAACGAAGTTTCATAGAGAGACAAGACACGAGGAACCAAGGAGATGCCATATAGGTTTATTTCCGGGGGTGTCCGGTAGATAAAACCTTTGACCTTGCCCCCTCCCTTTTCCTGAGCGGGTGTCCCCCCCACCCCCCCAACTTGATTCTTATTCAAGGCTGGGAACTGGAGTGGGCTGCTGGTAGATTTCATTGTCAGAGTCTGCAGAGAAGGTTTGATTGTTTTTGTTTTTCCCTCCGTCTCTGACATGTGTCAAGGAATAAAGGCTGGATACAGGTCCATTACGTCATTCTGCAGGCCAATAAGTGTTTGATTAACAGCTTCAGATACTCAAGGGTTCAGGGGCTTAGAAATGCTGACAAAGCAACTCTGCTTTCCATCCCCAGCCCCCAACCAACTCGTGCAATCGCAAGTTCCCGGGCATCTTTACTGCCCTCCTTACTCAGACCCCTCCTGGTCCACCCCTCCCTCACCCACACCGTTATCTCTCTTGCTCCGCCTTTGCCTTTTACTGCTTTCCCTGAGGCGAATGTTGTCCCTGGAGTATGGGTAAGAGCTTCTGGTGTTTGAGGGGGGACGCAGTACCTGATGGGGCGCACAATCTGCCCTTTTCTATTATTTAAGAAAGACATCAGCAAGTTCCCTAACCTCCTACCCACACCCTCACTCCTTGCCAGGGTGAAAATGCACAACCCTGCTAGAAAAAGGCATCTCAGGAAATGTTAAAAAGAGCTATAATAATATCACGTCCCTGTGCTGACTAAGGAAAACTACACACCCACTGCAAACAAAGTATTACATTTTACATAGCGCTTTCCTAAGGCTGTTTAGCAGAAGAGGGAAGAGCAGTAGTGAGAATTGCTGACTAAAACTAATTTAGCTGAAAGGCTCAAGATGAAACGCTTCCAAAGTGAGGGAATGTGAATATTTGAATTCAAAGTCTTGGGAAATAAACTGGTGCGTGCATGTTACTTTGTTGCTCGTAACCTTTAGTTTTTATATTTAAAGAGGAAGTTAAACACATAAGCCAGTGAATTGCCTTAGAATCTCTATCTGGCTGTTGAAATAAACATACTGTATGTGTCAGGTTCAAGGTATAAAAGTAAAAGTCAAGTAAACATTTTACTAACAGGGCTTTGTATGGAGAGAGGGTAGGATGTTTGGGTGCGTCTTTCTGATTTGGAGTAGGTGTAAGCTAAATAAAAAAACATTAAAAATTCTAAATAGGAGTGCGAATCTCTTGAACACATGTTTTGTTATAATCAGATCTACTTTCTTCCATGAGCAAGTCATGCTGTCCAGCAGGCATTTGTGAAACTCACGTTTGGGGTCTAATTGACATCCTTCTCCAAGTTTGTGGCAGTATTTATTATTTATTCACATCTAGTAATGAAATAGTATAAGCCACATACAATACATGTGCATGGAAAATGTTAAACTTCTTGTTTGTAATGCATAGACCTAAAGGGAAAATGGTCCAGGTCACCAGCAATGGAGTGTGTGATTAATGATCAGTGATTTAGTGATCAGTGATTAGTGGTTTTATTCAAACTGTTACCTCTGACCAGAAGCACACATCAGAGGATTAACAGGCTCTTTAGATAAATGCTCATTAGTGGAAGGGGAAAAGCAAAGATAATAGGCATGCACCCAGGGACAACTTTCGAAGAAAATCATTCCCGTTTTCAGAATAATAAGCTCTATTAACAGAAAGCCCCTTTAATTTAAAACTTGCTTTTATCTTGTAAATCAAAGTTAGATGTAAAAGTTTGTAGTGCCATTATAACCTAAATTTTCCCATATCCACTAGATGTGGATTATCTCAGTAGTGATATATTTTTTTTATTTAAATAAACAATTGGACCTTTAAAGCAACTGAGCCCTGACAAGTTCTTAACTCCCAGGGTCTGAAGGTGTCCCCCCTTCTAGGATGGCGCATGCTGCTTGCTAACTAGATGGCGCAATGTTATTTGGTGTTCTATGCTGGGTAGTTCAGGAGTATAAATTGAGCAAGTAGCTGCTTGTGAAGTGTTCTTCAACACTTAATAACAAAGTTGATTCTGTGTTGACTTGGAGGCTAGATAGTCCTACAAGTTTTTAGTCATATTTTCCATGTCAGTTAAAGCTAGGGAGTTAAAGACTACTGGAAAAATTAGTCTCATTTCTAAAAGAAATTTAGAGAACGAGGGAGGAAAGGAAGTCTGAGAACCCAGGAGGTACTTGTGGACTACAGAAGTGATTGTAAAGTAGCAGACCTGTTCTTTTGACTCAGAGTTAGTTCCTCAGTCTTGTAGTCTGAAATAGTGGTCCAGATTCTCAGACATTTATTTTCTTCCTAATCTTGCTGGTGAAAAAAAGAAGTTACTAGAAAGAAAGGAAGGTCAAAAGCAAAACAAAACAAAAAAACCCAACATTTGATTTGGTGACTGCAGTAAACAAGACGTTGCTGATTTTATTATAAAGCTAATGGTAAGATGATATTTATTATGCTGAGAGAAATTTGCACTTAGTTAAATGGAATTAATCTTGTATTTTCGTTGATAGAATTCAGAATTGGAAGTCTTGATTTTCTCTGTGTTTTAAATATTGCTTTTGTCAGTTTCTGGTGCATATGGTCTGTGTACGTATGTGTGTGTGCATGTGAGTTTGAGTATATGTGAATAAAACCATTATTTTCTGACTAAAATATGTTCATGATCATGTAGACTGCAGTGTGTACTCTAAGGAGCAAGCTAAATCATGTGTCAGGTAAGAATCACTTTTTCACAAGCTTTCATGAATTACTTCAATAAGCACTTCAATTGTTAGAAGGAAGGAATTCTTTAAAAAGAAACCAAGCAAAAAAGTTTTTAAAAACAAGCAAACAAGCCTTTTTCCAAATCCAAACCTAGGTATGCATTCTCCCCCTGCTGAAGGTGCTAGTGATTGAATATCAGATATTACTCTAATTTTTAAACTTGAAGGAAAACCATTTTGTGACTGTGTTTCCAGAACTTACTTGTGTTTCCCCACAATTTCTTCTCATTTGCTTTTACTTATTGAATTTTATATAGATAGGTAATTTTTAAATCCTTACTGATTCGTATTGATTTTCATTTTTCAACTTTGCTTAGGTTAAACATGTCTTCTCAATTGGATAAAGCTATCTCCCAACAAACTGTTTGTGAATGAAAATGGACAATTCCTATGAGTAGCCTGTGAGTCAGAAGTCAGTTTGTCTTTAAATATAGTTTATAGCTGAGTAGAAAGATTATTAGAATATTTCCTTTAAAAAGTGGAACCCATACCTTTGTTTCTATATCTCTGTGATGTTGCACCTTTTATTTGAATAGGTGAGTTGAATGGTGGTTTGTAGACAGACTTTTCTTGTAAGCCTTTCAATTACACTGAGTTGACGATTTTCATTGCAACTATTTGCCAGTTTCCAACACCTGCAGATTCAAAACCAGCCAAGCTTGAGCTTTCTATGACTGTTTGTACTGATGTCAAGTCCCTGGTTTCCCTGTTTCTCACCATAACTTGCTTGTTAGCAATGATGCATCACTGTTGTATAGGATACCCTCAGTGCTGGAGTTTGTTTTTTATTAGGCTGAAAATTATATTGTGGGAGGGGGATGTTCACTGGATCCCCAAGATGGAAACTTTGCATTTGAAGTTGGTTTTCTTCCTGTGATGTTGGGGGATCTGAGTAAACTTATTATTTTTGTCATCTTTTCTTTTCTTTCTTTGCTTCACTTCAAAGCAGTGTTGTTAGTCACAAAATAAATGTGATCATGGCTGGGGCTTCCCATCTATATGCCTCTTACAAATTGGATTTCTATAGCAATTTAAGGTCCTTTTTTTTTCAAGGCAGCTTTCTTGGATGGAGATGGAACAATGATCTCAGTCAATTCATTATCTTGTCCAGTTTGACTATCAGCCACATTATGGGAATCAACCAGTGCTTTTGTAAATGAGTGTATATGAATTTAAATCTAGGGCTATTTCTCTGAATTCTATTTAAGAAAATTATGCCATTGAGATAAGGTAATAAACAGGGGCAGTAGCCTCCAGTATCTAAGTGTGGTAAGAAGCACTTTCAGATATGCTAAACAGACTTACAGGCACAGCAGAATCTTTTTGTGGTGCTATTTGGAAAGTAAAGAAGCTATCCGTTTTGTGGCGTTGCTTTAAATAGAAACAATGGCACATTAAAAAATGACATTGCGTTTAATGTTTTCACTAAAGCGTTATAACATTTTGTAAGTAAGGAAAAAGATAGACAATTAGTGATTTTTGAGGCTCCATTAGTATTCCATTGTTGGGAATCACAAATCATGGGCTTAACGTATGAAAAAAAGAGAACACTTTTAGAAGTTTCCAGGTAGTGATAAGACTATTCCAGAAATAAGAGAACATGTTTTGAAGCTCTTATGAGGACTTTGAGACTTTCAAAGTAAAGTTTAGGAAGTTTGAGATGAATTTCTAAATTTGTATGATGTTTCATTTACATTTCAGTAATTTTCCTTCCCAGCAACACTCCTTAGTAACATTTCATGTATATTTTAGATACTGTTTTTCTGTTTCCCTTGAAGTTCACATTTCTAATTCCTACTCTTAAATTAACAAGAATTGAAGGTATCATCTTGGCATTTGGCTTGAACTAATCCTAGATAGAATGCTGGTATGGTGCTGTAGAATCAGCACTGGACCGTGAACCACAGGTTGGCTGTTCAAAACCACCAGCTACTCCAGAAACACTATACAGGATCACTATCAGTTGGAACTGACTCGATGGTACTAAGCAATAAGAATCCTAGAGGGAGCAAAAGAATTCCTTTTGGGGAGGGATTCGGATGTTGAGATAAGAAGGCTGATAGAATTATGTAGGCAGATGCTAGAACTGGGAACGATTCCCCCTGGAAACGTGGGAACGATTCCCCCTCTGATAGACCAGCCTCTTCTATCAGAGATAGAAGAAAATCTAAGGCCTAGTGATAGCCTTTGACTCCCCAAAGGTCCAAGCAAGAGAGTGCTAAATGAGGCTTAGAAGTCAATTCCAGATTCCAGGTTAACTTCTCTTTCTCTGAAGCAGGCTTTATGTATGCAGATTGAAATGTCTATCCATAAATGCCCTTGTCATGAAGGAAACCTAACCCATAGCTTTAGATACTTTGCTCTTTTCAAGCCTTTTGACCATTACTCTTTCAAAGCTGTATTTCTATCAGCTCTTTTGGAAAGAATGCCCTGTAATAGAAACTGTGGTTTCTATTCTAGTTTATTCTTACAATATTAATGCTGTGTTAATTTTTCTAATATTGACCTCTGAATTTGATTTCAAATTAAATTCTTCTTCACAGTTTTTATAAGCTTGCTCTGTAAATGTAAATGATACCGTTCATTCACCTTGTGGGTGAGACTAAAAACCAGACAGAAATAAAACTGGTCTAAAAGTCTGCCTTTTCTCTGTCATTGGAAGAAGGGATCTGAAAAACTGTGTAAAGATGAAATCATAATCTTCCTTTTTGTCAAATAGAGCAGCAAGTGCTAGTTTCACTCTGGAAATATGTACTTGGGCCCAGGACCCATCCATACATCTTCTCTTTACTGGTTGGTATATAGGAGAGTATTTGAAGATGAATACTACTAAGAAGTGAGTTGAGTCTCGAAGTCTACTTGCTCTTTGAGATTTAACTGGCAAAGCCCAACTGGTCATTATTTCTAGAAATCACATGTGCAACCTAGGGGGCTCCAGAGCTCCAAAAATTTGATTTAAGATGACATTTAGGAAATGCTGTATTTAGGATGGAGAACAAGAATATCTAAATAGAAATCTTGAATGCATCTACTGTATGTGTTGTTTGGCCAGATCTATAGGTTTCTTCTCCAGCTCTTTGCATGAAAGTTTTATAACAGCAGTTAGGTCTCTTTAATTCTTCCATTAAACTAAGGACTCTCTGTGTTGTAGGCTTGATTTTTCAAATATATCATATTCCAGCCAGTTTTACACAATTATCTCTCTTCTGGATTCTCAAGAGTGAGAAAGCATATTCAACAACAGCAGCAAAAACCACCTTTGTTTTTATTTGAATTAGCTGATTATTATAATAAATAAATTTGATATACACTTCCCCAGTTCTGGTAGGACCATTTCACTTATCAAAATAAGATTTTCTTCTTCAGTTAAGTGATGATGCTGTTTAGCTTCTGAATAACTAGCATAGTGGTTACTAATTGGGCTGCAAACCACAAGGTCAGCAGTTCGAAACTACCAGCTTGACCGTGGGAGAAAGATGAGGCTTTCTGTTCCCGTAAAGATTTACTGCCTCGGAAACCCTGGACAGGGTTGCTATGAGTCGGAACTGACTTCACGGCACATAACCACCAACCACCAATCGACCACCTGGAGTCCTGGTAGGATAAGCACTGGACTGCTAGTCGCAAGGTTGGGGGTTCAAGTTCTCCAGCTGCTCATCTGAAACCCTATACAGGGTTACTGTGAATTGGAACTAACTTGATGGCACTTAACAACAACAACTATATAGGCACCAAGGAGTCCTGGTGGAATGGTGGTAAATCACTGGGCTGCTACAAAACATCAGTGGTTCAGACCTACCCAGTGGCTCCACGGGAGAAAGATGTGGCATGTGACTTCTATAAAACATTTAGCCTCAGCCAGAAAAAAGTTGGCAGGGAAAGCAATATTATAGGCTCACGCTTCTAAATACTGAGCAGAGGCTGACAATGAGTTGAAGGTGGCTCTCAGATGCTGAGAGCCTACAGGGGCATTTATTAATAACTGTTGGTAGGTGTCATTGAGTCTGTTCCAACTCATTGTTGCTGTTAAGTGCCATAGAGTTGGTTCCAACCCATGGTACCCTGTATAGGGTTTCCAAGGAGCAGCTGGTGAGCTTGAATCTTGCAGTTCAAACAGCTTTGCAGTCTGGTGCATCAACCCACAGCACCACACCAACTCATAGCAACCCTAATATACAATAGAATGAAGAAGCACTGCTGAAATGACAACATGGGAAATTGTTCATGAGTCAAAAGTTGACCATCTACATCTTAAAAGTTCTTCATCCATTTTCTGCATTGTCTTTATGCTAACATTTCCCTGGTTTTATTTTTATTTTGTTTAAGCATTTTTTCTAGCTACTCTGTTTTCATGAGTGATCTTACACTAATATCACAAGTGTGTTCACAATGAAGAGAGGATTTTTTTTTTTTTTTAAACAGAAGACATCGATTTTAATAGTAAATCTTATTAGAAGTAATTAGCAAGACTCAAGAGAGAAAGAATATTTGGAACCAGATGGATGGCATTGTTGACTGTCATTCTTGACTTTGTAACAAGCTGTTGTACTACTTTGGTGAAAGTCAAAGGATGGAAGAAGGAACAACCAAGTTCTGCCTTGAACTTGTGCTTTTCTGTCTCTGTATCTGTGATAAGAGTGTTGGTCTAGACAAATGCTATCCATGATAGAAGC